TCGCCTGTTCTCGGCAAGCTGGCCGCCATGTTTCATAAGGAACACGCTCGAAACGGTTTTGCGGAAGGCAGACACGGTGTAGCGTGTTAAGTTTACACAGCACCTCATGTGTAGACGAAAAACACAGATGGCCTCGTGTAAAACGGACACGTTTCGACGTGTCCGCTATGGGACAACGGTTTACACGTCTGGGCGTGTTATTTTTGCTAACAGTGTAGTCTCATCTTAGTAAAGCCCCTTCATGTTTCAAAAGTAGCGCAAGGTGCGTCGATGCACGAGGCACGTGCAACGTGCAGCCTTTGGGAAGATCATGGCGGAACAACGCAGCACTGACACTGTAGCACTACAGTGTACTAGAATACTTGGGTAGTGTTGGGACCGAAGGGGCTCGCCTGAAGCGCGTGGTATTGATCGCAACAGGTGTCGCGTCCGGCGCCTTATCCGGAAGGTGCGCGCATGCGTGGCTGCACGCGCGAAAATATGAATCTTTGGTGCCGCTTTGGTGGAGTGCACGTAGGATTTCTGATACAGCTACGACCTGCCAGCGGTCGTACCGCGGCATCAATTACGCTGCGGCACGATCGGTAGCAACATGATGCTTCAATGTATTGGACGGTAAAAGCTACATTACCCTTCCTTTACATAAAAACAATTGCGACTTTAAAGAAGCGCTTTCGGTTTGTCGGATGGTGAGCATTTTAAATGAAATGCCCACCATCCGACGCAAATGCCGAACATTAGACATTTGAAAGGGATACCTAAAATTCGAAAGCGGTGTTTTTTTGTTTTTTTTTCCTATCTTATTTTATAACGGAACGAAACGGCACATACTAAAGTTCGAGATTGTTTTAGTATGTTTTTAATACCCCAGGGGAACTTCTCTGTCTTCTTTTCTGCCCGTCTTCTTTTTCTTGACCTTAATCAGCTCGCTTCACCTGTCACTCATTCTTGTGTCCATTTATGCGACGAACCACCCAAGCGACGGTCGCAAAGGGGTGAGAATCTTCTATTTCTTCGTGGCTGCCACGACCACCCGAGAATCACCCGACGCTCACTTGTAAGAAATGGCTTACAAGCCGTGACAATTTTTATCACGCGTTTTAACATTTCACTTAAGTCCAAAAACTGAGACAATGTGGGCTGAACAAGTAATGCTTTATAAGATTCAAAGAAAACAAGAAACTATTTCACATCATTTTGAGCAGAAAACATGAGCACACGTAGATCAGACAAGGAAAAAGTTGTAATAGTTTACAGCACGGCATTGAAATAATGGCTACAATGTGCAGCGCATACATGGTTACAATATGCAGCGCATTATCCTCTTGAGGGTAAACCATCTGAAACCTACACGCTCACAACAATACATTTAACCGACAGCTGCTTTCTGACAACCAGGTAAGTCTCGCCTGAGCTGGGTATTCGAAGGGAAACACCCATGGTTCCACAGGGGGCGTATCTGGTTCACGCAGACATTCAGGGTGTTTTTGTTTTATTCTTTACAGAACTTTACATACTTTACAAATAAAAAAAAAAAAGGATGTGGCAGATATGTGGATGCCGTCTTTTGTTATACCTGTAGGGCTCGGTGGACAATGAATGGGTGAATAACCGTTGCAATGTTTAATAATGACCCAAGACCTGTTAGTTAACTTGTTTATTAACGGCTTAATTGGCCATGGCGCAATTGCAGTTTTAAAAGGAATCATTATTAAAGGCAAATACAATTTCGACAATTCGCGAAAAGGCAACGAGGTTCGCGAAATTAATCGTAAAAGTTTGCCTTTCTTCGCTTGATTCAGAAACCGCGTTATGAAAATAATACGTAGAATAGTAACTTAGTCGTCTTGATGTGTGGCGCCGGCGAGCCCACCGAAGAAACGCTGTCGAGTTAGTGACGAGGGGACAGAAACAACCTGCGTCATTCTTCTACGCATCAATATCAGCACAACCTCATTCGCGCTTTCAGCGCGCAGTTTTTTTAATTAAGTGAAGAAAGGCAAAATTTTAGCGATGAATATCTCAGGACAGAACGAGCGGGTTGGTAGAGATAATTAAGCTTGAGGAAGAAACGAAAATGGACGGACAAACACAACAAAAAGGAACGCCTTGTTACTTTCGCTCAAAGCTCGTTGTTTGTTCGCGAACTTTTTAAATTAAGTTGGCCTTTAATGATGGCTCCCTTTAAAGCTGCAATTGCAACATGGCCCATCAAACATTTCATTAACCCTTTGCCTACCGCAAAAATTAAAAAAAAAAAAAAGATTTGAAAATACCGATTTTTTTTACGTGCCCTATACTCTGTTTCACCTTGTGTTGTACCGCAGGAAAGGCTACAAGCGCGAGCTCCTTGCTCTAGGGCACCACTCGGCGGCACGAGCTCCCGTGCACCAAGGGCAGCTGCCAACGCTATGAACTCGCCCTCCTAGCTTTAAAGGAGCGATGCAACGATTTTTGTATTTTGCGCAAAAACCGCTTAGAATAGGTCCCTGACGTTAATGACCTGTGAAATACCCGTTCGTTTTTCACCACACGCAATCGAAGTCCCAGAAAAAAATTAAGAAAAACGAGCAGAGTTTGGCCCCTCAACTCGCAGCCAGAACAAGCGGCCACGTGATCTGGAGCCGATTATATGCCGCCAGTGTTGATCATAGCCACGCGCTGGGGTTGGCAAAGCACAGGACACGCGCTGAGTTCCAGACATATTGTTATGGTTCGGCTGTTGTCGTCATTGCAGCGATTGGACACAGGACACCACCCGAATGCTTCTCGAGCTAGTAATTATCACGAGCCCAAATCGAGTGTCCACGCCATGCTCGGGTCCAATCTATGAACAGCATTCAAACATCGTCACTGGGCGGTACTGCTACCGCCCAGTTACGTCATCAGGTTTTGCGAAGGAGAGATTGAATGAAAACAGTCGGTTTTGTCCTCGAAATTACAGCGCAACAAAGGAGTTTCTTGGTCTGTGGCGTTGCGTGCGAGTATCCTTGAGTCCCATTAGTGCCAGTAAGCTCGTGTAAAGTTAAAAACATTCCAATTGAATATCGTTGCACCGCCCCTTTAACTACATGCACCGCTCAAAGAAAAAAAAAGAAAAAAAGAAAAAAAAAAAAAAAAAACGCGGGCTGCGCGAGCCGGATAACTCGACTACAGCGCCGCCACGAACTGTCAATACACGCGTCCTCACGAGCTCCCGTTGCCGAGCCGCTCCGGTCCCAACACTACCCAAGCGTTCTAGTACACTGTAGTAGCACTGAGCTAGAACTCAGACGCCATGTTCTTCCCAGAAGTGGCGCGCGGCACGCGTCTCGAGCATTTCCACAACAATGAATGGCGCCACTTTTCCCACGATAGAGGAGCTTTACATCGTAGGGGTACAGTGTTCTAGAGGGTGTAGTGGCAAGAGCGGCGCCCGCTTACAATGAAGCGCGTGAAGACGGTCGATGTAGATACCGCGAGTGGCGCTGGAGTTTTGTGCCTTAGGAGAATTAATGGCACGTGTGCGATGAACGAAGAAGACGACGAGGGTGACGCGGTACGCTTCTCCGAAATGTAGCACCGTAGAACTTCTTTCGCAGCTATTAAGCCTGCAGCCCAAAAGATAGCGTTGCTGAACGATGTGTCAGTACTGTGGGGGGAATCGATATTAATTAAATAATCTCCCTCAAAACACGGGAACATTTCAAGTAGAGGATAGCACACACTCTAGAGGCATTAGTCCAAAGGCAGAACTACAATTTACTATACTTCGTTTCACCTTGTGTTGCACCGCAGCGAAGGCTAGAAGCGCGAGCTCATAGCGTTGGCAGCTGCCCTTGGTGCACGAGAGCTTGTTCCGCCGAGATGTGCCCCAGAGCAAGGAGCTCGCACTTGTAGCTTTTCCTGCGGTACAACATAAGGTGAAACAAAGTATGCAGAACACCATTAACAGTTGTTTCGCACCGCGAAAAGCTCCAGTCAAACCACAGTAGTAAGCGCCGAACAGCGCTGGTGATGGGGCTGACGGGGGCGCGCTCCTAGGGCACAGAACAGCAGCGCCATGGTGTCGTCTACGCGCAGAATCTTCACAAAGCGGCCGCCGCTCTTGCCACTACAACCCCCTCTAGAACACTGTAGTAGGGGTGAACGGAGTATTCACTGGCGGCCATAGCTGTGTGCGCGGCTGCTGAGCGCGTGCTGACGGCAAGCTTCCGCAGTTCTTTTGCAACGTGCATTCCGCACCATCAAGGTTGCCGGTCCTAGCAGGCTATTAATGTGAGATCGTTCTGAGCATGCGCTCTAAACATCGCCCTCAAATATGGACTCCAGTGAATACCCCCTATAGTACTTGGTTCACACTTCATTTTGTAGCACAAACCAAGCCATACCCGCTCCGCACACGTGCGAGTTCACACTCGCTCCAGCACCCGCACGCGCATTGGCTTCCGCCTCGTGATGTGGCCTCCCTCTCGCCTTTGTCCTTCACTACTCTCTACGCGGCGTGCTTTCCCTTTCACTGTTTTGTCCCCAGAGAAACACGACGAAGAAAGGCTGACGACATCGTCAGCCTTTCTCTGTCTTGGGGGTACTAATGCTGACGCATTAATAAGGAACCGGGCCGAGCGTGGTTCCAACTTCGTCCCCCCGTCTGGCAACCGCGTGCGTTGTCGACTTCGCCACGCACGCAGCAATATATGGCCTCCAGGACTATATATCGAGGCATGCACTTGACAGGGACATCGTTGCCCTCTAAGGGCTAACTTCAAACGTGTGTTTTACGCGTGCTGAGCATTTCTGAATTGTCCGGATATGTGTCCAGCTTGCATGTAAAATTCTCTACAAATATTCATTGCCCAGCACAGGGAAGCCTTCTTGGAGAGGCTGAAAGGAAAATGATAGGATGCATGGTCGTCCAAGCCCGCGCTCACGGTTTATGGTAGCTCGATGCTAGCCATCAAGTTTCGACTTCGTTCACCCTCAGAAGTTGGGTGACGGGTGTCACTGCGCGTAAAACTCACCAGAGTCGAGCGATCAGGTTGGTCGCGTCCACATACTCGCTCCACAGGCAGGCTTCTCCGCCCACCACCAGTTGCTTTTCACTCTCCGTCCCTGCAGGAATCGTATACCATCGGATGAAGCGATACTCGATTAGTGTGTGATGTTGTCCGTGCTCGTCTTTGGTACCATGCAATAAACAAAGAATCGGTCTCCGAGTGCGTTAGCGCACAGCAGCTCGGAGCACGTCGAGCGAAAGCTCGCTCAGCGGAACCCATGGGGGTCCTAGGTTCAATCCCCACCACTTCCCGTTTCTATCTGGACGAGAATTCTACCGGTCGTGCGGTTGTGTATCGCAACGGTGTGGTGTACGTTAAATACTCCAGGCTAGCAGCGCTGCTGTACTCTCCGAACTTTTCTTCTACAGAGAAGACGCTATAGACGCCCATTGGAGGCTGACTAGTTAACTCCCCGCGGTTTGAAGAAAAGCTAAAAAAGGGTTTTAAAAAAAAAACGAGTTAGAGGTGAATTTTAGACTAATTTGATCCCGTGAATCTGAATATCACGTTCGTTTTCTTCGAAGATGTAACTATAGACGCGAGAAAACGCGAAAAACCTCCGACCAGGCGTTACGTCATTAAAGGGTCATTCGGACGCCAAGCACGTGTCGCTTCTGTGGGCAGTGCGTGCTAGTGCAAGCTTGTCAGGTATATTTCCCCACACTGACATTAGTCGTGACGTCTTTTTCTGACCTTTTTGAAAATAGTGAGAGTGCGCTGAAGGTGCGCGACAGCGAAGTTTCCTAAAGCTAATTTTATGGCGTAACGCTCTGGGGAGGAGGGGCTTCAGTGGTACTATGAAAATTATTTTCCACGGCCTCCGTGTACCAAATTCAAAAATAATCTCGATAGTCGGGATTTGGGCCAAATGAAGACGATTTAAGTGTCTTTACTCAAATACAGAACAGCTTCAGCTTCTCTTTAAGCAAAAAGCGTTCCCATAGCAACGGCAGAACACAAAAACACTGAGTTCGGCAGCACTCGGATGTGTAGAGATTTGCACGTCAGCGACTCCAACTCGCGTGTGAAAGGAGGTCAAACAAATTTAGATTGGCGCTTTCACTGTACGCTGATGCCAAACCGCGATGTTTTCACTTCGTTCGTTTGCAACGGAGACGGGTTTTTCTAAATATTTAGTCGAATAGAATGTCGCGTGTACCGCTAAAGTTCCGGGGGTCGGCTGTGTAGTACTTCTTCCAGTCGGCGGCGTAGCTGATGTAGTCGAGGTACCAGAAGGTCGACACCACCATCTTGTGGCCTTTCCGGGCGAGGCGTCTGGCGATCTGTTTCCAGTCGCCCTTCCACAATTGCACCAGCGTGTCTCGGTCCACCTGCAAGAGTTGGGACGTACTGAGTTGCCATAATCACCCAGCCTAAAAAAAAGAAAGAAAAACAGGGCGTGCCGAGTCCCGCGTGCATCTCATTATCGACCGGCAGCCAATGAGATTGCGCCGTTGGCTGATTTGAACGCCGAACAGCGAATCACGAAGTTCGAACAGAGTAGGCTACTCCCTGCTTTTCGAATACCTATATAGTTACGCGGGCATCCTTAAAGGTAATTCCGCTCAGTTCCGAAAATTTCGGGATAATGAGTGATTTCACATTAGAAAGCACAAATAAAAGACACTACGTAATTTGCTTCGCGAAAAATTGGATATATATTGTTAAATCGTACTTTCAACATGAGCAGAAATCGAAACCGAAAGTTCGGCTCAGTCTGGCAACATTGGCCTCGGGCCGCCAAAAACACGACCATCACGTGGTACGAGGGCGGCATCCCTTGGCACGAAACAAATGCTCGACATAGTTCCATTTTCAGTTGCCCGCTCGACCTGCACGCCTGCCTTCCCCTGATGTCACAACACTAAAAACCGCGAGCATGTTTGAATGTTGGTTTTGGCATCATTTTTAATTGCCGATTTCTCAACAACTAACTTGAATTTCGCCATACTACATAGCACAACGGAAAGGAGTGCTATGTAGTATGGGTGATTACGAAAATGTAGTTAGGGTAGCTAAAATAATTGCCGGAGTATCTCTTTACCCGAAATTAAGTGGGATTGAGGCCAGACTTAAAGGCCGACGATGAGCCAGAAAGGAGGGAGTTCTCCCTCAATTCCTCCTTTTCATTCGATAGAAGCAACTCTCCACCTTTCTGTGGGGAGTTGCTCAGAGTCCCGCTACTGTTGGGAAAGGAGGTGAGGAGAGCGCGAGAGGGGATGGAGAGGAGGAAACTGGGAACTGGTTTTCTGCCCGGCGGAAGACGATTCTTAAGTTCTGCCTTTAAAGGAGCTGTGCAACAATTTCAGTGCTTTGCTTAAATAATTTGGGAGTTGGTGTCTCGACCGTTCTGAAGTAAAGAACAAAAAGACCGCTTTTGCCTGCATGTGCTAGTTTTTATTTTAAAAATTGACAAAGATTGAGGTTTTCGGCACCTCCCAGCTCCTTCACCATCTTCCGAGTTACGTACGCTGTGACGTCAATGGGGGTCGCGCGGGGTTCCTGTGAAGCTCTCTCTCTCTCCAGAGCCATCAGTGAACAGCGAGAACTCACCCGCTCGCGACCACGTGACCACATGCTTGCGCAGCGCGATCAATATGGCGAAGGAGGAAAGTGCCGACGTGCTCGTCCAGGTCCGGCCATCCCCGCTCGGCTCCGCACCCCGTCCCACTCCGGCTTCTGGCGGCTGTCCGCAGCAGCAGATTAGACTGACGGTTTTGTTGCCCTCGGATAGATGGCGCCACTAAAACTTCGTATGATAAACATTTTGTCGATGATACCCGGTTTTTGGCGCATTTATATTTATGTTGGAACTACAAGATGTATAGCGAAATTACGTTTTATCGAGCAGGTATTTGCACAACTTGCTATCTTTCTACAAGACCCCCATTGACGTCATGCCGCGTGGTTCTCATAGCCGCCGCTCGCGGCTGCAGGTCGGGAAATATTCCAATTTTTGCCTCGCGATTATGCGGCGGAATCGCAACATTTCGAAGGAAGGAGATGTGCTTTCTGTCCTTTGTGACAAGATAAAACAATGAAGTAGAAGGCGCAAATCCTTTCAACGTTAAAATCGTTGCACCGCTCCTTTAGTTGCGGTTAAGGGCGCCCAATGGGCATCGTAACCGGCAGGTACGCTTAAGTAGGGTTAGTAGTTACTGCAAAGTAGACACTAGTAACACGGAAAAAACATAGGGAATGTAGGCAACTTTGCAGTATCTTTGTGCAATCTCCGCCCCGTGCGAGCCTCCGGTAACTCACCTAGAAGATCCAGCACTACAGCTTTGTTTCCTGTACTCGTTGTCAGATCAAAAAGAAAAAAAAAAGAAAAGCTTTGTTTCCTGTACTCGTTGTCAGATTTAAGCGCTGCGCAAAGTAGCTCTCGCAAAGTTTGGTTATTGAAGGAAGGAACGATGCTTTTAGCGTTTGAAACGTGTACGTCTTGATAAAATAACGGAAAGCTGATCCAAAGTGCACCCGCATTTTTCCCAATTCGACGCACATAAAGGGAAATTTGTAACGTTCCGCGAGAAGGCGGACTTTTTTTATACTGCGGATATTAAGGTGAATACGAGTATGTTGACCGAGCTTGACCGAGCGCTCTCGCGCATATGGTGGCGAGTGTGTGAGGGAAACGAGGGGAATGTGAACAAGCGCCTGCTTCGGAGGAAGTGGGGAAACGCGAAATAGCGGGGCCAGACCTGAGGTGCGCGACAGCGAGAGACGCGAACTTCGCGTTCCAACTAAAACGTGTTATTTTTTGCATCCTTTTTTTTTTTTTTCTTTTTTTAGGGACGTTACGCACGACGATGTTTGCACCGTCGAGGTATAAAATGCGTACCAAGTTTATCTGTCCAACATCATCGCGAAGAAACACATGATACATTATGCGTGCCTTTGACACGATATTGCGGGAAATACAATTGATCAATGCTGAAGCCGGGAACAGATTTGCGAAAAAACGAACCGAAAATCGGAGAGAAATCGGAGGCTGCGAAAATCGTAGCTTGCGATTTTCGGAAGACGAGCCACTAGAGGTGGAATGCGCGGCGCGGAAATCGCAATGCACTGCGGTTTTCGTGCTCCGACTTCAGGAGGCTGCTCGGTAGTCTGGCGAACTGGCGTCCCATATTTTGCGCCTCTTAAAAACTTCAGCCATTAAAACCTCGTTGAATGCCACGCGAGCCTTTGTATCACCAACCTTCGATAGAGACAGAAGGGGTTTTCTACGAAGGTCGAAGGTTGAGATGAGAACGCAGGGATGGCATACGATGTTGCCTGCGCTACTTCCGAAGCTGCGTGAGCCGCCATGTTGCGAGCCGATCGTATATTTTCGTTCCGTCCTGTTCCGGGCTTTCGCTCACCGAGCACCACCGCCCCGAATTCAGTGAGGCGCCGTGCGAAAATATCTGGCGCTGCAGATCTTTCGAACCGCTCCCGATTTTCGGAAAAGGGGAGGAGCAAGGGCGGAGCCTAGCTGCCGTGCGATTTTCGTGTGCGGTTTTCGCACAAAATTCGGCTTTTTTACGCAAATGTGTTCCCGGCTTGACTGTTGGGCGAGTTGGCGCGGAATCTTTGAAGACATGGTCGCTCTCATAGACACGCACAAGAGGCGGAAAACATGGCGCATTCGGTTGTCTCGCCCCCCCCCCCCCCTCCCCCTTTTTCCTTTTTGTCCGTGTCTATAAGTGCTACAGTGTTTTCAAAAAGTGCGGAAAAGGGACGCTTTTTTGGTTCCACATGGACGGCGCGGTGGCCCACAAGCATGTATGCTTTTTTTGTTTTATTTAGTACATATATAGGCCGATTTAGAGTCTTGAAATGGTGGACTTTGAAACTTCGTTAGTAAGACTTTAACATGCCTGAAGTATCAAAGTGTACAACGGCGCTCTCGTGACTTTGCTGGTAATAAACGTGTGAAGAAAACATAACACACTCCAGAACACACAACGCTCGGCACCAGGATGCCTGATATCGAGATAAATCACTGCACGCTTTCATGTATACATAGGAATATTATCATATTTCTTTTTATTCTGATTTGTAGGTTATCTTAGAGTAACGACAGTTCGGCTATCTTGGATCTTAACATCATTGTTGCCAATTATGTGAACCTTGTTTGAAATTCCAAGGAAAAAAACACGTTTTTCCGTCCTAGAGAATTTTTAAAACAGTCTGCGACAGGGCCAAACGAGAACGCCGCAATGTTCCTGAAACCGTATTTAAAAGCTAGAAAGTCTCGTTTTCGAATCGTAACCATCGACAGTTCCACTCGCTTTGTACCACAGTGTAAGTCGCAGCTGCCACACAAAAAGTCCTCCCCTCGCCTTGATTGTATAGTGGCGCCACCATAAGACTTGGATATGCGGTTAGCCTGTCGCGGGCCCGGTTCCCCGTGCTCCTTTATGGGAGACGCACTTGTTTTTAAAGTCATTTTCTACCCGGATCGCAAGTTCGTCTGCTTCTTGCACAGGTGTTGGGATGATGTCAGAATGTCGAGCTCTTATTGGCTGATTTAAGAAAAAAAAATAAGATATATAGGGGGTAGGACGCAAAGCATCTAGCACTGAGGTCTACCCGCTATTCTTCCAGTCGAAGCCAATGAGAGCTCGGCGTTGTTCTGACGTCACCGTAACCCCTGCTCAAGAAGCAGACGACTTGCGCCCCGCATAGGTGCGCCACGTCTATACACCGTTTCATATTATGTTGTACCGCAGAGAAGGCTGGAAGCGCGAGTTCATAGCGTTGGGAGCTGCTCTTAACGCACAAGAGCTTGTGCCGCCGAGATGTGCCCTAGAGCAAGGAGCTCGCGCTTGTAGCCTTTCTTGCGGTACATCATAAGGTGAAACAGAGTACAGTGGAGACTATTTTGCACTTGCGCTATGCGTGTTTCCTAGTCACTGGTTCGTCAATAACACCATGTTTCGTGCCTCAACGGCGGTAGTAAGAGCTATATGAACGTGTTGAAGCGGAGAGGTCTCCGGCGTACTGTGCAAGCCACCGTCCGACAAGGTCAGTGCAGACGCTCCGAGCGAAAAGAGCGCGTGCCCGGGTGCCATGGTAACAAAACAATTTCCTTAGTTTTCTTTTTTCTCAGTTGTGCCGCCTCGACGGCGGTGACGCTTTCGGCAGATGCTACTCGAGCGTGCGCCAATAGGACTTTATCATGGTCGATCGCGTTGCATGCTTTCGCCGTGCTGTGTCCTCACCTGTATCTATCTTACACCGTGCTCTGCGCTAAGCATCAAAATGGCGGCGCTCGCGTGAAAGTTAAGAAAGGGAGTACCTGAACGTAGTTTTCGATGGGATCTTGCCAAATGATGTATTTACTTCCCAACCTCTTCACGTTGCTGAGAGTTCTCGTGACGTAGAATTCTTCCACCTGACTTATGGACGTGAAATTGTGGGCCTCCATGAATCTCCGTATTTCGGGGCTGGATTTCCTAGAACAAGCCAGATATGCTGAGTTTAAAATGTCGATCTTACCGCGTATACAGATGTTATATCTTCGAGCTTTTGTGTCAACTTGTGTGTAGGGGAAAACTAGAGTTCCTGTATAGGCTCCTTACGGGAGCCAGAGTTGCTCTGACTCCCGTAGGGAGCCTAATATACAGGAACTCTAGGAAAAACAAAAAACACAGGCCGTATAAAAGAAATAGCGTCCTCGTAAGCTCAAATAAACATAATTATCATTACATAGCGCAAGTTGTACAAAATGAAAAACGTTTACAATTCTCTGTAATGCGAAATTAGAGCGCAGCTTTTGAGGAAGAGGAAGGGAGGGTACGGAGGGGAGGGTATGCCCCTCTTCCCCTCCCCCTCTCCTCCCATTTAGGGGAATTTAGCGAAAATTTCACCGCTGCATTTAGCGGGGAAATGTCCCCGCTAATTTAGCGAAAATGGAAAGTTATAGTAGACCGTTTCCGCAGCCCGCTAAGGCCCACTTCAGACAGTGCAATTTCGCCCAGCAACTTGACGTCGCAACTCGAGCAACACGGGCGTTCGCACGCAACCCGCGTTCGCACGCAGCAACCGAATCGCTTTGACTTGCCATCATCATCATGAAACTTGATTTTTCGTGCTCTGTTTAGACGCACAGCTATGCACTAAAAACGTGTTTTTTTATATCTTTGAATGGTGTTGGAGAACACTAACTCATCTTTCTGAAAAGGTTTATTTCCAAAATCGATCTATTTCAAACCAGAAGCAAGTCTTTAGCTGTCATCATCACCACCACAGGGGTGGCACGTGAAATTATCGCGTCTCTGGTTGGCTGCTGCCGCTTCAAACGTCTCCGAGTTGTTCGAGTTGCTCGTCCGTTTCGAGCCGGATCCGATCTCAGCAATTCGTGTCTATCTAAGGAAAACTAGGGAACAACCCGCCAGCAACCTCAAAATTGCTGGAAAAGTTGCCCCGTCTGAAGCGGTCCTAAAGGCCCTGTCACACTGAGGCAACAGTTGGACAACTCTATCCGGCAACACGGGGAAGTCGTGTTGCCGGCGACCCTGTCACATCAAGGAAACAACAACAGTCGGGCAACATGTTGCTGCCGCCCGGCAACCGTGTTGCCCGATTTGTTGTCCGACAACCCTGTCACACCGCGCTGACGGCGAGGACAACACGGGGAATACTCCGCCATCTTGATTGTTTACCTTCGGTCGTGTGCGGCGCGGAATCGCTGGAAATGTGACTCTACAAAGTGCTAGTGCGTTCGAAGGGCCGGGAATTACCACGGTACGACATCAACCAGTGACTGTGATTTGAAAACTTGACACGGGGAGTATTTTTCGCTCTTTATTTTATCGAAGTGTTCTACATTCGCTGACAAAGCAGATAGCCCTAACCGAGGAAAGTGACATCGCTGAGGTATGTTCGGGATTTACGCCACCGTATGAAGTGATTCTGTCCGGTTCTTTCATGCAATTCCTATTTCTACTGTAAAATTGCGTTAGCACCGGCAGTACCCCAAAGCGTCTTTTGTAACGTGGTGTTGAGCTGAACTGACAGTGCTTCAAAACTGCGACACCGACACCATCGGCCTTCATAACAATCGGTGAAATAAATATTTTTCAACGCTGTCTACAGGCCTACCGCTGCTATGTGATCGCTTCATTCCCACAAAACGTCCTGGGTATTCTTAAAACAAATCAGGTGTCTGGTAGCGGCTGTTCCCAAGTTCCAAGCATCAACAATCATGATCAGAGTGGTCGTTTTATGCTTCGATTTTTTAATCTTAGGTTTTCTGAATTATTTTTATTATACTCTATTAGTGGGTAAGTAGGCATGCCATTTTATTTCACTTTCCGTAATGTGCGCTGGTCTCTCGGGAGTTCTAATTTCAAAACCAGTCTGAACGTTCACGACCGTAGCTGTGACCATTTCGAAAATCGCTTTCCGTAACTACGCAGCAAAAACATTAATCGAAAATATTTTAGCTGCACGCCAGCCCTAATTATTGTTAAATAACGTTTTCCAAGCCTTTGTTTGAGTAAGACTTTATTGATAGGGGACTAACTCTGCCATCGAAGTATCTATGTTGTCGTGTTGCCGGCCCGAAATTCGCTCAGCCAGCGATCAGGGCAACACCCGTTGTCCAACACAAGTTGCTGCTGTTTTTGTTGCCGAAAGCTGTCATACCGAGGCAACATTTTTGGTTGTCGTCCATGTTGTCGTGCAGTTGCCGCGGTGTGACAGCTTTGTCGGACAACGCGGGGAGCGAGCAACAAGTTGCCCGACTGTTGGACAACGTGTTGTGTTGCTGTTGCCGTCGTGTTGCCTCAGTGTGACAGGGCCTTAAGCACCCGGATAGCGCCCCGTAATTCGCCACAAGACCTTGAACTATGCACACAAGGCTGGCGGCGCGCATGCGCAGCTGTGTTGTTTTCTTTACGGATACCGTAGCGGAGGAGAAAAAATAGAGAGTTTTCGTAGATCGTTTTGGCAGTCCCGCAACGCTTCCCGCAACCCGCTACGATACCCGTGACTCTACAGACAAGGCCATAGGCGCGCAGGCGCAGTAGCGGCTTCTTCGTTGCGGAGGGCTTAGCGGAGGGTGAAGCGCGGTCTACGAAAACTCCGTAATGATCTAGTACAACTCACTATTATTCCCGCTAAATTTAGCATGGAAATTTAGCGAAATTTCCCACTAAATTTAGCAGGAGATTTAGTGAAAATTTCCTCGCTAAATTTAGCGGGGAAATTGCCGTCACGTGACCTCAAAACTAAATCAGTTTCTCCACTAAATTTAGCGAGAAAACTGTGATGTCCCATAATGCAACGTGCGCGGTTACGCCGACGCCGACGCCGCTCAACACGGAAGCGGGCGCCTAAGACCTGCGCTCTAAAATATAACATAGAAGAATACCAAAACAGACAGAGCGCTTTCGAAGGCTCTTAAAATTTCTTGTTCTCTTTATCAGTTACTACTATATTAAAATCCACATATCCAAATGAGTCCAGTAAAAAGACAGAAAAAAAGTTCGCTTTAGTTGACAGGTTTTGCTATTCATTTCTGTCTGTTTTCTCGTTACTGTATCAAAACGAAGGATTTCTACTGGAGAAGTACTGCGATCTGGTGCTCATAAGGTTATATTAAACGAATTCGTGAATCGTACCAGCAAGCGTAGTAGACCTCGTCCATTCCAAGGTGGATATACTCATCTTTGAAGACGTTCCTGATTTCTCTAAAAATATTCGTCATGACTTGGTACGTGTGGGGGTTGGTGGGGTCTAAATTTTCACGGGCAGCGTGTTCCGGATAGTCGGGTGTGTCACGCTTGCCATTTTTATAGCAGTGAGATAATATGTCTGAAACAAAACGAACAGGGACATCATTGGGCAGTTTGACGGTAACGCCCTACGGCTAATAGAGAGTTTTAGGGGACCGTTTTTGCCCATCCGATACTGTACACTCTCAAGAAGAAAGGGTGTATTGTTACACCCTTTGTCCCACATAATACACCCCAAAACTTCAGTTAGACGTACAGTGCCCTACAGTCGAACAGACGGCTCGAAATTTTGCGAGGCGCTTGATAGCCGTGTGGTACAACTTAATAAAATAGCCAATGTACGTTTCACTGACTACAAAAAATAATAATCGAGGTTTTCGTGGCCTTAGTGTGAAAACTCGGTGTTGTTTTTTTTTATGTGGGCTTTGATACGTACTTTAACCTATTTAAAAAGTTATATCGCACGATTATCAAGCCCCTCGTAAACTTTGGGGCTGCCTTTTCGACTATAGGGCTCAGTACGTCGAAATGAAGTTTTGGGGAGCATTATATGGGACAAAGGGTGTAACAATACACCTTTTTTTTTTCTTGAGAGTGTACGGTGGGCCCTCCGGTATACGAACTGCGCATGCGCTACCCCAGAAGACTCGCGCATGCGCAGTTCGTACGGGAGGGCCCATCGCACCGTATCGGATGTTCAAAAACGGTTCCCTAAATCTTTCTACTGTTCCAGCCGTAACGCGGTACTCACTTTGGTAACGTGACAACACGTTCATTACAAGCCGAAATCAGTAACGAATAGCGTAAATGACGCTACTATTCCTACTAACTACTAACTAATAATTTATTTACTTGTTAATTTTTATTGGTACAAGCCTCGACCGGTAAAAAGTAAGCATTCGAAATCGTTTGGCGGCCCCACGCGTTCATTAGTTCCAAAAACAAGGACGGTTGCAATGCCATCTGCTTCCAAGAGTCATTCTCATATGAAGGACAACAGGAAGTAAAAATATATTCTTTTTATTTTGGAAATAAAAAAGGAACGAACGGAGCAACGAAAACAGGTAGCATCCTACTTCACAAAGTTCAAGAGAGCATATACACTATGTGCTTGTAAATTTTTCAAACCATGCTGCTACCGATTAAGCGAAGTTCAATGCAAATACCGTCACGACCAGTTTAAAAAATTAAGTGATTTCATCAATTTTTTTTTTTTTTTTTTTTTTAGCATTGTGAAGCCTTTATATTGTCCAGACGACGATATCTTACTTGGAAACGCCTTGCCGAGGGCTCCCGTGTGTCCAGGACTGTCGATTTCGGGAATCACGCGAATGCCTCGCAACCGAGCGTACTCAATCACGTCCTGCACTTCTTCTAGACTGTAGATGTGCCGGGGCGTGTACGCACTCTGCGAAACGGCAACGATGACATTATACTATGGTCAATGACAACTTATGAAACACAATGCCCAATCGCTCGCCCGAATGTTCATTCGTGAGTTTGCCGTTGATTTTGAGCACATCGGTTTCCTCGGTTGGTGGGAAATTCAGCCAGCGGTTGAGGGTGGGCGTTGTATCGGTGCGCATGCATGAATACATGCGCCGGAATACAACGCCAGTTTATGTCAAAATCGGTCGAAGTTGAAATTGAATTTATGAAGTTTCGGTGGCCTACAGCTCGGCCTTTCGCTTCCCGTGCTCTGAAGCTGCTGCACACGTAACTTAACCCCATAGACGGTACTAGCCGTATATGACGTTTCTTCTTTCCTGCTTCTCAGACATTTGTTTTTTGCGTTTTGTTATTGTTATTGGCTAGCTAATTTAGGTCATTGCCTGTGAGTCTTCTAAAGAAGGAAGTCGCAGTGTAGACATCTTTCTCAACTCACTTGGGTGAGGTTAGGGTAAGTAACCATCGCTAGAGGCCAGGACTGATCGTCTACAATGTGCCAGTGGAAAACATTGAACTTGTTGTAAGACATAGCATCCTGCAAGATCACAAGAAAAAAAAAAGTTTAGCACACAGCAAGAATGGTACGCAGAGAAGAAATTGTACCAAATTCTGTTTGAGGATCTTGAGAGGTAAAAAGTGCCTGGCGCTGTCGAGAAGAATTCCTCTGTAGCAGTAAGTTGGGTAGTCCACAACTGACGTCACGTTGACCACGAACTTTTGGGAGACAAAACAACAACAAAAAATCAGCAAATACAGTGGCGCAACAAAAACAGCACACTCATACTCGTTCGTATTATATTTAATGCGATAGAATCTCCATTTTTTTTTAATATGTTATCGGGTCACGAGGAAATGTCAACTCACAGCGTTTTCTTCAGCATTTATGTGCACCAGCTGGCTAAATGTTTCAAGTCCTGTGACAAACCAAATTAGCACACATCATTAATGGGTATCAGGCTCTCTTACGCCTCATTCACTCTAGCATTTGAACCGCATTCGAGAGGCAGTTGCGAACGCGGCTCTTTGAAGATTCAATTTAGTTTCACGCCCATTTGACGATGAGATCCGCTTTGTGGTTTCTATTCGGCCTCCAGTGTGAATGCAGCATTAAAATGCGCTCGATTAATACGTTAATTATTTCTTACCACGTAGTGCTCCCCAAACAGTTTCCGCCTCAAGCACTGCGGGTCCGACCTCAGGAATTTCCAAGGTATCTGCAACACAGCAAAAAATAACCCAATGATAATTATTGGACACTTTTTTTGTGTAATTGTAAGACCTTTCAAAATAACGCAAGGAACTGCAAGGTTGTCTTTTAGACAGGTGTCTGAAAGTCAGACGTAGCTGCATTTTGAATGCCCATGGGTTTACGAATCCCGTCAAGAGCGATGATTTTGTTTAATCATGGAAAGAAGTTTTCAGGAAGGCTGAGTGCCTAATTTCAATAAAATCGAAACCAACGGATGGATGAATGAATGCATGGTTGCATACTGCTGAACCGATTCAATTGGGCGGAGGCTTGCGCCCCCTAGCCAGCCTTTATAATATCAACAGTTCACGTCTACCCGAAGGAACTGCCGCCATTGCCTGAGCATGGGCATGAGGATGACAAGTGGGACAGACAGAGCCAAAGAAGCCGCGCGAGCGTAAAACCGGTCCGTCCTCCGGGGCGCAGGAGCCGCAGTCTTGTCCTCAGCCCTTGGGAGTCGGGACAGGGTCTCGGGTCCCCGAGCCGGTCGCGCCCTTGTACGATCTGCTGTCGGGCTAGTTCATGATGCCCATCTCAGGGAAAGAGTATTTGGCAGACACCGCGTGGAGGACAATCCGATCCCACAGGCCTTCCGGACACATCAGATGGTGCTCCTTGAATGTCTGCACTCTAAGCAACGTCGGAGTTCACTCTGCTGCGCAACACGGAGACACTCAATCACAACAATACCACCCATTTGCAGGGTAAGGAAAGTAGGACAAGCTCTTCCCGCGAAGGAAGTGCTCCACCCTTTCCACTTGGCAGAGCGAACGCCGGGGAGGAGGCGAGTCCATCCTTGCCTCGTCTCGCGTCCTCTCAACAGCCCCGAGATAAAAAGCCTAAGTGCTCAATTTTCCTGCGTCACTAAAGAAGGCCAACATAGGTGCGAGATCTGACACGACTACGGCGTCAACATTCGGCTAGGAGTTGGGTCCTCACTGATTGGACACGACTCCCAGCCGAACGCTGACGCCGCAGTCGTGTCCAATCTGTGGCCTGCGGCAACCTTCTTTAGTGACGAAGAAAATTTCAGCACTTATAGCCTTCTGTTATCTAGAAGGTGTTGGTCCTCTGCGGCGTTCGCTGTGCTAAGGGAAAACGGTGGAGGACTTTGCGGGAGGAGCTTGTCCTGCTTTTCATTGCCTGCAACAGAGTATACAATACAAGGCCTGGGCATGACGTCATCATTAGTGGATGCCCGACTCGCCCCCGGCGGCAAAGACGCTGAAACTCCAGGGGCCCTAATCTGGACACTTGGCGAGAAAGACGGCGAGAAATTTGACGGCTATGATTGGCCGGCGCCATGGTCAAGTGCGGCGTCGGCCCAATCGCAGCCGCCAGATTTCTCGCTGACTTTTTCGCCAAGTGTCCAGATTAGGGCCCCAGGAGAGACGTCGTAAAACCGTAAACGGTTTTCGCCTTGGCGTCGTCGCGTGCTATCGTCACGTTCGTCCCGAGATGATGCGAGACGCTCTGGCGGCGATGCTGACGCAGGCTAGGTGAAGCCCTGCTTGGTTCCTTTATCAAAAAGAAAAAAGGATTCCAGCGCATGACGAAGCTCAGAGTAGACGATTGCATCTGAAAAACGCGATGCACGCAGGGACAATCAGGGTGTCGTTTCCCTTGCTCACGTCGCAGTTTTCAGGTATCTTATCCTATACTGAGCTATACGTCATTCGCTCGGATCCTTCTACAGTCAGCTAGAACATAAACACGAACACAAACAGTGGCGTACCAACTTGGTTTTGATTGGGGGCAAACCTGGGGGGGAAGGGGGGGGGGGGGGGGACGGTGCCCTTAATATCCCTTGGGCGCCGCCGGCCAGTGTTTACCCTGCCCAGTGGAGGCTGTTTCAGGGGGGCAAACCCCATGCCTTGCCCCCCCCCCCCCCCCCCCCCCCCCCCCCCGCGGTTGGTACGCCCACGAACAGAAAGGCTAGAATGGGACAAACATACAAACATAGGGAAAGTCAGCGGTGTGTTTGTCTGTTTCTATCCTTTGTGTTCGTGCTTATGTTCTATCGCTGACTTTTATACCTAACCTGTACCAACTAGCTCAACTTGAGACTGTGATAATGATGATAATAATAATATTAATTGTAATAATAATAATATTTTATTTTTATTTCCCACTTCAGGTAATGATGGAGCTGAGAAACAAATCGCGATAGACGGCTTGACGAACTCTCGGCCCTAGAGCACTCTCAGAAATCAAATAGGGGTGTAGTACTTACACCCCTTGTCCCAAATAATACACCCCAAAACTACATTTCGATGAACAGCGCACTCATGTCGAACCGAAGGCACCAACTTTCACGAGCGGCTTGATAGCCGAGTGGTACAACTTATTAAAATATCCGATGTGCGTCTTACCGACTACAAAACAACAATAATCGGGGTTCTCGTGCCCGTACCACAAAACCTCAGTGTTTTTTTGTGTGTGCTTTTTTGTTTTTGTTTTTGATACGTACTTTTGCTGTTTAATATGTTATATCTCACCGTTATCAAGCCCCTCGTAAAGGTTGGGGCCGTCAGTCCGACGGAAGTTCGCTGTACTTCGAACTGCAGTTTTGGGGGTGCATTATATAGGAGCCAGGGATGGGCAAAATACATGCAAATATGTTTCGAAATACAAATACAGAATACTTCGTCAAAAATGTATTTAATTACAAATCTAATTACATTTCCAAAAAAGCATTTAAGTACAAGATACAAATACAACCGAATGTATTTGGTCTCCTCCAAATACTTTTCCAAATACATTCCTCAAAATTTGCGTCAGTGACTTCAGGGCACGTACAACGGGTTTCTTGGTATCTCATTTGAATTTTAATTGCATCGCCCACTCGGGAGTTAGTGCGCAAGGCTCTAATAACGTAATAGAAATATAGTCACAAAAAAAATGTAATCAGCTTGGACGTAATAGCTGAAAAAAGTACAGAGCTTCAAGCAGCTTTTTTTGTCGCTTACATTTTGGCATAGACCAACAAAGAACCGAGACAACCAAGACGCGCAGCACTAGCTAGAGAATTTTTTATTGTTGCAACTCGCACCAGTTACAAAAATCTGGACGACCCGCGCATTTAGAATGTTCCAGGCAAAAGTATGGATGAAAATCAGGCTGGAAAGCATCACAAGTTGTCACAGGCACTTATTTAGCCAGTCTGCCTGTGAACGTCGATTTCGTCACCATTCTTGCCCTGGACCAGCACCGTAATCACAAAGTCACTAAACGCTTGTGCTTGATTGAGAGACACTGCATTCGTTGCAGAACTTAGTTTTCTTCCTGCTCTGGACACCTCTTAGGATGAGCAAATTGAGTCGTGACAATAAATTTGAGGGATGTATTTTCGCCCACAAAATTGTATTTAATTACAATTGTATTTGAAATACCCACGTTTTAGTATTTAAATACACACGTCAAATACATTACCAAATGTGTAATTAAATACAAATGCAAAATACACAAAGTATTTGAAATACGTGTTTCAAATACTTGTATTTGAAATACTGCCCATCCCTGTATAGGACAAATGGGTGTAACCCTTTTTTTTAGAGTGGCATTCTGCAGCAGTTACAAAGAACATAAAAAAAACACATAAATGTTTTAGTTATTCAGCCAGCATATCCAACCGAGATCATTTTGTTAATTTTCAGTTGAATATAAATACACCAGGTCTACATTTACAGAAATAAGTAAAAATACATGCAACATGAGGAGGAATTTCTACATTAACAACATAACCGAGAGCATATAGTTACAATATGCAAATATATATTCAGAGCCAAATATCAGTACACTCTTTCAAAGCTGTACATTACTGTACGTCATTCATTGAGAGTTAATTTATCTCCGTCAATATTGTAGGAACTTAATAAATTAAGAAGTCTTGGGATTCGGTAAACTAAATTCTTTTCCGATATTCAGTCGACACGCTGGTACTTGCCAATAAGCGGAGTTACGAATTTGTTACGTTACATGTTTCTGTAAATTTGTCAATTTTACCATGGATCCTTTGATGCTCGCCCGGATTGGCTGTCTCCGTGTTCTGCGGGAAAGCGAACTCGCGTACATTTTTTATAGTGCACACCGAAGAAGGAAATTATACCTCTACACTCGTTTCAAACCCAAAAACTGAAGTAAAAAAAAACAAACAAAACAACAACAACAACAACAACAACAAGAATGGTCGGCTTCTGGCAGAGCGTTACTAAGTTACCCCTGTGTTGTAAATTAGGATGCTCGCGCAGATCCCCTTTTTTTTTCACAGAATGTGTTAATATGCTTGATTCCTGCAAAAAGTGTCACGCTCAAGTGTGGCGAAAAAGCGTTACATGTAGGCCAAGGCAACATAAAACATGCGTAGCCTATTACAGGCAATCCATAAGCATGCGAACCATCTATACAAGGCATACTTAGTCAGAATAACTTATTCATAATCATAACTAAGCACGATTAATCGCAACCTGAGAGATTTACCACAGGCTCAGGTGGAGTCGAACCCCGGACCATGCGATCCGCAGCCCCGATCTCTTTGTTCGGCGCCACAAGGATTTTTTGTTATTATTGAACAATGAAAGACAAACACAATACTCCGCCAAATCATGCGATGCCAGCACTTTGTCGCCCAGCTTCTTATGGGTGCTCTGAAATTCTTCCATCTGTTGAAGGTCGTTGAATATTCCTACCCGCTTGAGTGCCATCAATTCGAATCGACAAAGCACTGTTTTCACCTGCGTAACCACCTCGACAAAGTGCATTCTGACAGGTCTAGTGCCCACGCCCGCATGCCTGACGGCCATACGGGATTTTCATAAGGAATACAAAACTATTGCGAGGAACAGATACGGTATAAGGTCAGCACTGTTTATGAGGACGTAACGAATAGTGTGAAGGTTTTACACAAATCTTTCTTTAGAGTCCCCTGCAGAACATCCCCCGAAAATACTGCTTCCCAGCTGTGGATGAATGCATGTTCAACAGTCTCCTGTTGTTTGCACAAGATATATTCAACAGACCCGGGAACGAATCTACCTCTTTCCCTGAGCCACGTCTTTACTACGGGTGTAGGACAGAATGCTCCTGGACAAAATGGTCCCGGACAAAATGATTTCGGACAAAATGGTCCCGAACGAAATGACCCCAAATGTAAACCCGGACAAGATGATCCCAAGTGTTTTTTTTTTTGTTTTTTTTTTAACTTTGGGCACTTTTTGACAGTTCTACTCAACAGTTACTTTGAAGTTTTATTCAACACATTTGAAATGTATATTTCGAGGCATTTAAGCTTTCCGTTATCTATTTTTGGAAACAACTAAACGAGCCCAAAAGTTCACGAAGTTTTTATTATCGCTTACTCGATTCTATGGCTGCTATTCGCATAAGTCAGAGCCTTGTACAAGGCTAGAGTCTACAAGTCTCCACAGATACAGATACGTGTAGACTAAAAGTGCAAGATCGCAAAGCACACTCTGCACTTCATTAAACTAGCCGGCAATAACATATACAGAAAGGTCTACGAACGTTAGTACACTCTGTTTTCAGCACTGTCTGCTGCACTCTTACTTTAGTTAAACGCAATACAGGCGTGGGATGAAAATAGTCCAATATTGCGAAAGCAGTTTCTTAAATGTCGAATAAACGTATCTGAGCAGCAAGAAAGCACATGATTAATCAGACATTACCATGCACATACTTCATATTTGAGATGACGTGGTAGGAAACCTTTTTTTTTTCGCGCGCTAAAATAATAATTGTTATATATACTAAAATATTAGTATGGACTTAGTTGGTTCAACATACTGGAATTATAAAACGTAGGAAGTCCTTACACGGACATGAAGTTACATAAAGACATGGAGACTTCATGTCCGTGTCTGTCCCTTGCGCTTTAAAATATCAGTATATTACATATGCAAACATTATTTCATATATCTTGTATATTATTTCTATATAATGATCTTCTCTTCTTTCGCTCAGCTACTGGCATGAGTGTGTTTAAATTGAATATACAAACTTAAAACAGTTCACATTTAATATAAATAGGTATTCAGTCAAACAATTTATGTTCTTTGTGTTCAAACTGCATAAAGTTCAAACAATCGACCTACTTCCGAAGAGCAAGCAAACGACGCTGCAAATTTTACCTGGAACCATTCTGTTCGGGTTGGCGCTTGGGACCAATTTGTCAGGTGCCATTTTGACCGGGACCCTTTTGCTCGGGGCCATTTTTCCCGGGACCATTTTGTCCGGGACCGTTTTATAAGGATCCCCTTCACTACATGCTAGCGTGTTAGTGCGGAGTTTGAAGAAAAACAATATTTTAACAGCAGGAGGATACACATTTTTCTCACTCGCCAGAGAACGCCCTGCTCTGGGTCGGCACCACAAGGATAGGGTGAAAGAGAGGGCAAGCAGGTGAACTAAGTATGACTTGCCACGGACGGTCGGCTGCAGTAACACACGACTGCTCGCGGCGAGTGATACTTTGTCCAGCATACTTAGTACGGAAGCGACTATCGGCACACGCCGCTGCCTCCCGATTGACAAAGGGTAGCTCCCCACGTGGACTTACGACATCACGGGGGTGGATCATAAGTTCCTAGCAAGGGATGGCCCAGCGGGCGTCTGGCGTCACAACTTCGAACAGCAGTTAAAGTCGGCTCTTAGAGATTCTCCTCAATTATCTTTTGGTCCAGGTAACGTCATGTTCTCAAACGTTTGCGTTCTATCCCAACCGCTATCATCAGATTCCCGCGGAGTTTCAGCTTTCTGCGATTCACGGTTCGCTTACACGGGCCGAAAATCACGGTTCTCTTTTCTCGGGAACTCCCTCGCGTGGCGTATAAAGTACACGCAAAACATTTTTTTTTTATGTGACAACGAGTGTGTTGCAGAGAGACACGTTGCCTTATCTAACTCAAACTGAATGCACGCTGTTTAAATGTACACCCTTCAAAAAATATATATATATATTTTTTTTTTGCAAGCACAGAAATTGGGAGGAGAGTTTACTTACAGTTCTCGGCGTCCCCTTGTTTGGGATATCTTTCGTCATAAGGCTTGAGAACGTCGACATATAGTATGGTCAGTCTCTCGGAACTGCTGTCGTAAGGGTAAGGCCCACATGGCTTGTAAAATATCAACGTTCTGTATCGGTCGAAGGCTTTCGCCAGGACGTCGGAACCGCTGGCCGCACTGGAGACGAATACGATGTCCGGGTTCACCAATCGCTGCCTCGGAGAACTGTACAATAACTGCGGAGCAGGCCACGGTGACCCTGGTGGAGGCGGCTTCCCCTTAAAAATTAAAAAAAAAATGAAAACAGTGGGTAGATTAGAGTTAAGCATAATCGGGATGTACATTGTATGAGAACTGAACTGTGCAAGCGCAGTTGTCTCGAACAAGTGCAACGTCAGTACTTCGTCACGCATTGCTTATATTAGCGTGTTTTACAATAGCGTGCCTAAACCTTTGCGTACGCAAAAAAGATAGCGTCGTCGCCATGCGCGATTCCAAGACGCGGTTTGGGGCTTGGTGCATACGCAGTGGCGACGACGTTAGCTTTTTTTTGTGTGTGTTTTTTGCGTACACAAATTTTTAGTGTACGCTATTCTAAAACTCGCTAATATCAGCGGTGAAATTCGCGTTGACGCCGCCCATGCTCTCACCAGGAAATAATAGAAGACGAAGTGCATGTTGGTTGAACATTTTGCAGTTTCAAAACGCAAAAAAAGGCAAAAAGGAAATGCAGAGCTTGTTTTGCGTTCGTTTTATCGCACCGTGACAGCGTCTTCAGCAATGTTTCCAACGATGGACCTCTGAAAACTTCGCCTCCAGAAAAGTGTCCCTGAAATTTACTAGAACCGCCCTGTCAAAGTGATGGGCACGATCGAAAATATAACTTCTGATTACTAATTTCATTTAATGTACTCACGCAGCACTACTTCCTTTACGCTAGGCTGCTATAAGTATGGTTTGATAAACTATACTTGGGGCGTTAATTACTCTTATGCTCGATTCACATGATGCGATTTTACTTTCAATCCCTCGTAAGGCAAAAAAAAAAAAAGAGAGAGAGAGAGAGAGAGAGAAAGAGAGAGGGGAAGTTTGGGTGCACGAAGTCCCAGCTACAAGTAAAATCGCATCATGTGAACCTGGCATTGATGCTGGAAAATATGTGCGAAAAAGCAACCGAAAATCGCACGAAATTACGACACGAAACTTTTTTCATGCTATTTTCGAGAAACCTTGGTATTTAGTGGACTAAAAAAATGGCTTTGTAAAAAGTATATCTAAGGTTATTGTACGAGAAACACCAGCCCGTGGTTAGTTTTTAAACTAATGCTGAAAAATTATTTTTTCACCTTCCGAAATTCGTGCGATTTGCGTATAGTTTTTCGCACATCTGTTTCTGCTTGGCAACTAATCACGAGTGTCAGTCGTGCCCTCCATTACCGTCTCAGCAGTACCACACAGCGAAGAACTACTGAATGGACACGTCGGGTAGTTAGGAATTAATAGTAAGAGCAACAAATAACACCTGGAGGTAAATTGGGAGTTTCGTTTAATTTTCGTTCAAATTGTGAGTATTAAATGAAGTTTTGCACTGTACGTTTTGTGAAAGTAATTCGTATTTAATGGTTTAATAAGACACGCACGCGACAAAAGGGCGAGAGTGCGTTCCGTCGATTCGAAGTCCCCTACCTCTAAGGGGTGTCGCGGCTCGATGTGAAACAGCTTCCCAAACACGCCGTCTTCTCCCAGAAGCAAGACCAGCAGCAGTAGCAGCAGCGAAAGAGAGCCTGGCACGCGACTCATCTCCACGCCCGCTTCGTTAGCACTGGAACCGGCGGTCGGCTGGCTGTCACATTCTGCGCAGAAAGCCAGAACCTAAGACAAAAGCCGGGGGGTCTTCCACGGCCTTGCGGGCTAAACCGATACCACTTAAAAACAAAAATCCAGGTTGCGTCAGCACCCGAGGCCACCAGGAAGACGACACAGGTTGCGTAAGCGCTATTTGGAGACTTCATTCTGGCAGATGCGGTCGCTTGGCAAGGAATCGGCAGGACCTGTGCGCGGCTGCAGACGAGATCGCTGGGCCGTGCAGGTGCTCGGATAAAACGACTCTGTCAGTGTTGGACAATAAAGTTCTTTGTCTGTCTGTCTGTCTGTCGGTCGGTGTTAGAGACGCGGGCGCGCGAGATATCACGTATACAGCGATATATAGACTGTATGATTACGCTAGAGAGAACGCTGACAGCTGATGGAGGCCTGAGAAACGTGACATTGCGTGCACCCTTGTGTGAAGTGTCACACTTCGGCTTTTTGTTGGTCTCGGGTTTTATACTACGCGGAGCACAAGTTCGTCTGCTTTTTGCACAGGGGTTAAGTTGATGTCAGAACGCTGAGCTACTATTGGCTTATTGAAAAAAATAAAAAAATAGAGGGTAGACCTTGAGGCATCTAGCATTAAGGTCTACCCACTATCTTTTCAATCAGAGCCAATCAGAGCTCGGCGTTCTTCTGACGTCACCGCAACTCCTGCGCAAGAAGCAGACGACTTGGACCTCTAAACTCGTCAAACACAAAGTTGGGGCCGAAGTTGACGGACCGCACCGATTGGCCTATCACGACGATGACTTCGCGCTTTTTTTGCCGACGTCCAATCAGCACGCTCCGCGAAATTTCTGCTCTCATGTTGGACGAGTTTAGGGCCCTTGCTCTCCGCATGCTTCGTTTCAGCCTAAGTACAGACGCAGCCGACGGTACGCGGTCGTGGGACCAATCAAGCAGCGTCAAAACCGCAAGTCGCTAAGCCTTTTTTGTTTGTGATTGGTTCAGCGACGATGAAAGACGTACAGAAACATGATGAACAACATGATGGTGCGCTTTTGACGCTTTGATTGGTCCCGCCATCTCGTATGCGTCGGCTTCGTCTGGACTTCGGTAAAACAAAGTATATAAGCTGTCTTTTGCACTACATTACTTTTTTTGTTTTCTTTTTAAGGGGGGGGGGGGGGGGTGCTCTTTTGCATTTGCGTTATTGGCCTCGAGATCGACCTAAAGGTGGCGCTACGGTCGCGCTATCATCATCATCAAAGCGGGGATAGGAGAACGGCCGCCCCATAAGCTCTCCAAGTTCGCGCGCGTGACGGCGTATATTCTTGCGTTTATTTTGTCGCATACTATCGGTGGGGAAACAATTCTAGCGGAAAAGGATGCGGTACTGTTCGGTGCTTCAGTGAAGATCGAATCGTGTTGCAAGCGTGCAGTCGAAATTTATATAATCGCTTCTGTGGGTGCGTCGTCTGCTCCAGGCAGACGTTGGAAAGCATGGATAACCACGACTGATGCCTGTCTCCGGCTGAACTGGAATATTTATGTTAAATATTTGCTTTTTTTTAATGGATGTGTTTGTTCTTCAACCTGGCAATTAAGAAAAACAATAAATTCCAACCCAGATAAGATAATACTGGTACTGTGGGCAGTGAAATCGCAGCTTCTATGTTTTTTTTTTACCTTCTAGCTTTTGGAGTATTATAAATATTTAAAATGAAGATAAGTTAGCGCTGTATTGAAAATTACCATGCTATTGAGTTCCTCTGCCCTTTTACTGTGCCATAGTGTGGGTAAGTTTTGCGGAGTCTGAACACATCGACTGCGTTGCGATGTGGGGAGTGTCTCTTCTAGTTAAGATCTGCAAACAGCACGGTCGGCAGGGCAACTGAAACAAGTGAAACAAACTGTTCTAATATACCTGCCGTGACTGTAATAAACGGGTGCAATCGAGCAACGCAGCAATGTTCCTGTTATTAAATGCTTTTCTCGGTAGTGTGGGTTCACCCGCTTCAATTTTCTTGGTGAGGGCCGCGGATGTCAAGAGGCTAATACTATAAATTTCTGGCTAAATAATCTTGTATTCAAACACAGTAGACTCTGCAAACCCAACAAACGACGCGCACCACGACACAGACAGCATCGGCCGCAGTGATACTCTTTTACTGATAAAAGCTAGCGAGGCTTCACGAGACTTTCCGATCACCCTCCGCCCTCACCTAACGTAAGACTGGGCAGTTGGCATCGATTAACTTTCACATTATTCAAGTATTGCTTTAATTGCAATTTTTTTTCTGCCGGTTAATTGGAGTCCTGTGCTGGAGAAAATCAACAAGGAGTAAAAATGCCTGCTTTAATATTTTTGACGTCTTTATTTCTTTTGTGACACTGGCTTGCACGGTAAACCACTTCAGCGTGCTTGACATTTCACCGAGGGTGATTATACTGTTTAAATAATAAGTTAAAAAATACTGCATTTTAAAAGGCTTCCCGTGTTCATATTCATTTAGGACTCACAACGTGGTTTAGAATGGGAATGCAATATGCCACTTATGACATAGTAAAAGCAGTAAAAAATGTGTAGTTTTAACGTCTTTCACGCAATATGACCGGCGAAAAATCAACGTGCGGATTTATTAATTGATTAGTCTACTAAAGGATAGCGATTAGTCGGGTTACTTTTCTAATCAAACCACAGGCCCACTCAACGTTTAATGCTTTATGAAAGCCACGGTTTGTGCGAGATAACAAAAATACGTGGGAACAACACACTAAGATTATGGAAGCTTCCGACTGAATAATAATCGCTTTGCTGAATTTCTACGCATGGGAAACGATACAACACAACCTTTAGTAAGAAGAAACGGCAACAAAAACATAAAGCATTTAATAAGGAATGTCAAGCTCAGCCTGAAACGGGCTTGCCGCGTCGAGATCCATGCTTCTGAGCGTGCGCCCGTAGCAGACGACGCACGGCGGTATCCCCGCTTTCGCGCGTTTCCAATTTCGGCCGCACGGTGGCGACACGGTTCGATCTCGAGGCGAATACTGTGCTAGCGAGATTTTAACTGTGATGACTGTGGTGTTTGCTTTGCAGGCAAGCCTTCCTAGGATACCGGTCCCGCTGAGAATACATTGTCCACGCATGTGAAGTATGCACTAGCTGTGATGACAAAACACCTTTTTGAAATACTTCTGACACGAGGTTTTATCACTTTCTGAAAATAAGTTTGGAAGTATAATTTTGTAATAGCAAAATGCAAAAAAAAAAAAAAAACCGCCAGTTTTTAGTTTTAGCCGTTACAGTATCACTTCCCTGGGTGTATCGATTCAAATATTTGTAACGTGTCTTTTAGAATCTGATACAGATGGCTACATATCCTAAGACCACTAACGATCTCTTTATGAGTTACTAAAGCTTATGTTCACTGAAGATTGCACTCAACTTTTTATTAGCTCATGACAGCTAGAACACATCGTAAACCAATTGGTAGGACATTTTGATGAAGGTGTGCCAATATTTATCAATTTTAGGAAAAACTAAAACGATATCTATAAGGCAGACATCTGTTATCTTTTTGTTATCTTGTAACATCTGTTATTTTTTTTTATACATTTTGATGAAGGTGTGCCAACATTTATCAATTTTAGGAAAAACAAAAACGATATCTGTTAGGCCGACATATCTGTTAGGCCGACAGTTGTCAACAATTGTTTAACACCAAACACAATTATGAGACTGTATACTATATATGACTTTGGGTATACGCGTACAATGAACATCTGTGAAGGGTACTCTCCTGTGGAATGAAATAACTTTTGCAACTTTGAGAGATAAAAAAAAAAATTCTAATACTTT